CTTATCTGATTAATGGCATATGTAAATTAAATTCTGTATCCAATTTTAAATTATACTGGTGCAAAATTATTTTACAAGAGAAAATTAAAGAATGTGATTCTAGGTTACTGAAAAAAATTCAAATGAAAGAGAAAGCATTACACACATACAAAAATTGGGGAGGCTAAAAAATCAATTCAGTTGCAACAGAAAAGGAAAAAGGAAAAAAAAAACCCCACAGCTGACAAGCTCTGTTTTGGCTCTTCAACAAGGACAGATTTTTTCTTTAGACAGGAACAGGTCTGCTTGCATGAGAAAATGGTACTGCCTGGTGGGAGTTAGTTTTAGTGGAATAAGTGAGATAACAGAAGAAAAAAATGCCTGTAGAGGCCTCTGTGCATCCGAGGCATCCAGAACTACAAATGCTTTCAGACTCAGATCTTTTATCACTGAAACCTTATGTGATCATTCAGTCTCCAAGCAGCCTGTTCTTGCTAGTTTGAGTTTGATAAATGAAACAAGTGGTTACATGGTTGTATTTGACAAAAGTTGTAAAAAAGCTTGGCAGGTTTGCAGAGATTACAGCAATTCCAATTAGAAAAATGGAAGAAATATTTCCCGTGACACAGCAAGCCACAACCATTGAAGTCAGTGCAATTTAACTTCCCTGAGTCTGTGAGATCTCCTGGACTTTTAAGGAGAATCACTCTGAACCACTGCTAACTCTTTTTTCTCACAGCACTGTCTGGAATCAGCTTCTCTAAGGTGCAACCAACAAAACTCATTGAAACAGTAATATAGTGTAATTACTGCATAGACATAGTATACTTACTAATATGTACTAATGCTAATACGATGCACACAGCTATTTTCCTTTTAAGCACTGCTGTACTCCTGATGCTTCTTATTACAGAGAAGCTTGTATTCTTTTTCTGGAATCTCTTACAAAGCTTTTTGCTGCCATGCTCTGTCCTCAGCTGTCCTCAGCCAGAAAATTTTATGTACTGTGCAGTTAACCCCAGCAAAAGTTGTTATCTACTGTGTTAAACACAGGCACAAAACCATCAGAGTTCAACATTTTTTTACAAACTAAACTGAAATAAAATTACAGACTTAATTTGAAGATGTCTCAGATCCTAATCTCTGAGATCTGTGTCTCCAAGACCTCCAAAGTCCAGGCTTTGCCTTATCTGGCAGTACTGACCACTACAAATACCAGCACATCTTCAGAATGTCAGCAAAGATGTCCTATTAAATATTTTCCTCTGTCTTTTTCCTCTTTGATAAATAGCAAAATCTACTTTAATGCACCAATTTTCATTAACAAGCTTTACAAATACCAGTAGAACTTACAAAAGAAGAACAGTGATTGGCAATAAAGCCCATACAGATGTATTTCTGTACCCACGAAGGAAGCAGCTGTTTGTTGAATTTAGGATAATGAAATCTTCCTTGACATACAGACTGTGAACAACAACATATTGGCTTACGCAGTGTGTATCAACAATTCTTGTTAGTTTTCATAGCTTCAAGGCTTATCAGACCATTTTTCTGCATTTCTCTGAACAAAGTTTGAGCCACAGATGTTGGAAAGAAAACAGACGACAAATACACTGGAGAGTATAGTAAATCTGCAGACTCTGGTGTAGACTTTGTCTATGTCCACTAAAACTGTATTCAAACAGGGAACAAAGTAAATAGCAAGCAGTGTTTGTCCAAAAATAGCTCTAAATGCTGTCAGTATAAGAGATGTTAATGATAGATGCATCATCCCTTTATTGGCTTCCACAGTTCTACAAGGGGATTCGAGTCTTTAACAGCTCTCTCACTAAGAGAAACATTTTCGTAAGCTAGGTGACCTTTAATACTGAGTAACAGGAACTGCTCTGCTAATATGGTTACATGTAGGGAAACATGGCTTGAAGGTTATAGACAAGTTCAAAGTGCATAACAATTTATACCTGAGAAGATTTAACTGTGCAGCAGCTGATTTTGTAATTAATAGGTTCTTTCCATATTTATTCTTGTCCCACAAATTTGGGGGATAGGAATTTACAGGGTCTAACTTACACATTGACTTGTCAAAATCTTATTTCATTATCATTCTTAATCCATCCAAATTGGACCTGAGCCATGGATGATGTCTAATCTTACTGGAACTAGATTTCATATCTGCTTATTGTTTTGCTTTCTGATGTTGACCTTTTTTTGTTAACTGGTTCAATGTGTGATAACTGCTCCTTGAAAGCCTTCTCAACTGCATTATTTAAAGTTCTTTAAGATTTGAAGTTGGGGTTTTCAGTAGGATTTATTTTATTATTATTATAAAGAGTTAAGGAATATAGTATTTCTGTACCAGATATTAAGTCTATTTTATGACCAAGGGAAACTGCACAGCATTTTACTGATTATTCAGAGTAAGAAATAGAATATAGATCTGATAAATATCTGTAATTTTTTCACTAATAAGCATTCAAAGGCTATTTCTGAACAAAACAACATTATTTAGTCCTAATCACAACATTCAACTTAACTGCCAAAAGATGATTGGAGAGAAAAGGAATTTTGTAAATATTACAAATTATTTCAGAAAATCACCTGGGGATAAATTGAGGGATGGAAGAAAGTTAGATTTTGTGAAGTTTTATTTACATATGTAATTATTTGAATATGTGTTTATATTTCCCAGTGTAATTTGGAAATTTACATGTGCTTTTGACTTATAAAGTTTTGGATTACTGTACCCTTTGTAAGCAAAAATAATTGCCTCTAGAGTAATGATCTTCTACCCACAGAGCCCAGTTTTGAATTTTTATGTTTAGCTCCTCCTGATCCATTTTCTCTGCATCTGGCAGATGCATAACAAACACTCAGTTCCTGCAAGACAGTTTATCCCATTCTTTTTCAAGGAATACATTTTTCATCCCTTCTCTGCACTTCCTAAAGTATTTTTAGTCCATCATGATTCTTCTGAAGGTATTGCAAGTGGTAAAATAGAGACAGATAATGAGTTCTATTCATTTGTGCTACATCTCTGATAAGAGACTAGAGGTTAAGAATTTTCCATGGTAACTAGAACGGTTGAAAGTTCTTTTGACAATAACATGATGGATTCCAATTTTAGTTATTTAGAAATAAATATGGTACTTTAAGAAAAGTTACTCCAAAGATACCCATTATTTAACTTCTTACTCCAGGTAAGAAGACTAGTGTTCTACTTGAGGGGTCCTGACTCTAGAAAAAAAATAATTTTTGGGCTTGGGTGTAAGGTAAAAGTATCGATTTCCAAGAAACACATGGCAGACATTTCCAGTGTCATTTCCAGTGTCTACAGCTTTGGTAGGTGGGGTTCCAGAGAAAGGAGAGGTTTGTTGGGGATGAAGACTTACAGTCATACGTAAATATATACATTTGGGAAAAATTTGTGTAGTTTAATAATTCACTGTTGCTTTGATTACCTTCCAATGCTTGAAGTTAATTGCCTGACTAAATTCATACGAGCGTTTTACATTTTCTCATACAGTTTATTATTTGCTGGATTGGCCTGTTGTGAGAATGGAGGGTAATTATTCATCATGAGAATATTTAAGGTCCCTTCTGCCATCTGCTAGCTGTACATGCTTATGCAGCACAGTAATCAATTTTTTTTTAATGTACAAAATTTCTGTACTTTTGGTGAAGAACTGCAACTTAGAGAAAAAACATTCAGCTCCATTTCAGTGTCTAGGGTAACCACAGATCAAGTGACGTGTGACATTTTCCAAAACCTCTCTGGGTGGAGTTGCCTTTTTATGAGTTAGTGCAAAAATGGAAAATAAGTGGGACTGAAAAAATTACTATTTTGAAGAGAGGGAAAGTGGATATAGTGTATCTGCTACAGAAAGGCATTCTATTCCTTTTGGCACAGTAAACTTAATTAAATAGTTACATTTTAAAATCTTTATGAGAATCTTAATTATTAATGACATGAACAGGCTGAAAAAATGTAGGTTAGGTGTGGGGAGAGTTTGGCTCTGCAAAAACATTACTTAAAAGCAATTTTTTTTTGCATGACTGAGCACATGTGCACACAGACTAGATAGTCACACTTTACAATGAGGTTACAGTTATAAATTATTCATAAAGTGTTGGTAAACACTGTAGGCTATTACAGAATCCACAGAGTCCATAGTTTTGTTATAACTATGTGTAACACCCTCAAGTAATGTGCCACCACGTATAATTTATGAAAGTAATATTAGTAGTATTGTTTATGATGTATATTAATAATTTATTAATCCTTTATGAACTATTTATAAATGCAATCTTAATGGAAAGCATGGCTGACTAGTTACTCCATCACGCTAGCTGTATGGGAGTTAAAGGTTGCATGCCTCCGCCCCTGCTTTTTAACAAGCCAAGCAATCTTTAGACAAGGCAACTCTCACTATTTCCTTACATGCTCCTAGGAAATTAGAAATCTGAGAGAAGCATTACAAAGAGGTTTTGCCTGTAAGAAAATGCACAGAATCCTTTTTTACATCTTCTCCAATATTTCAGTAGAGCTACCACAGGTCCATTAGACAAAACTCCTTCCAGTTGTTCCATGCATATCAAAGTCTATGAAATTTTGATACCTTAGGATTCTTGTACAGTTTGGAACATCAGACCAACAAAACATAGGCCATATTTCTAGGAACTGAGCACAGGAGGGTTGCTATATAGGTGTGCATATCCATCAATCCTTATGGTATCTACCAGAAAATGGGTGATGTAACAGAAATTACTGCTATAGTCTAGGATACCATAACGTCTAGGAAGAGATCCTGGTTTGCAGGATTATTTTTCTGCTCCAGAGAATTTCTGCCAGCCAAGGTACAGCTACTTCTGCTTGCAGCAGGCAAGCTCCACTAACCTTCATGTGACAGTGCAGTTTTATCACTGCTCTTTTCTTCTTTTTGCATGCTGAGAAATCTCTTGCTGAGGCATTTGAGGTCGGAGTACCGTCCCCATGCATTAATTCTTCACTTATTCTTTTGCAGGAAACAGACCTCATTCTGACCTTTAATATCTCAATGCATCGTTCTTGGTGGATGGAGAATGGGCCAGGCTGCACCGTGACCTCAGTAACCCCAGCACCAGACTGGGCACCGGAGGATCATCGTTATATCACTGTCTCGGGGTGTTTTCTTGAATATCAGTACATAGAGGTGGCTCACAGTTCTCTTCAGATCTTCCTTGCAGTAAGTGTTTATAAATAACTTCACTTCCATCATCTTTTCTGGATTTCTTCTTTGTCATTACTGGAATAGCAGAGGATTGTGACGTTCATTCACAAACCCTGGCTCTAAGTCTTAGTTTAGTTATGAAATTCTGTTCTCTTTCAGCTAGTTTGAGATACCTGCATGCAAAAACCTCCAACATACATATTTATTATTCTTCTAAGAACTGCTGACATGATACACTTTGCTTTCCTGGCCTCGATTTTGACCACTGAGTGTCCCACAAGCCTCTGATAGCAGGTTACATTCAAATGACACTATAGTATATAACTCGTGACATAACAAGAAGTTACAGCTATTGTTGTGAAAGCCAAATTGAATATAAAAGAAAATCCAACAGTAAAAACAGATTCACTGATCAGTGTGCAGGACTCAAATCTCATCAATTTCTCTTTAACCATATTAATCCATAGGCATTGGAGTACAATGGAAAAAATTTTTCAAAAAAAATGTTGCATATGAATGAAAATCAAACCCAGAAATCTTAAATCTTTTTTAGGAGTATAAGAATCCACTGTTACACTGCAGAAAATTTCAAAGGGATGAAAACCACTTGTTTTCAGGGAACAATATATACTGTGGCCCACAGTTACTCAAAAAAGCCAGCAGCTTTTCCATTTGTCTATTCCCCAGTATTGTTATCACTCAAATTTAACTCATGGAATTATAGCTTCATGGAATCATTTTGATTGGAAAAGACATTTAAGATCATCAAGTCCAACCCTCAACCCAGCACTGCCAAGCTCAACAGTAAACCCTGTACTTAGTGCCACATCTAAATATCTTTTAAATAACTCCAGGAAAGGTCACTGAACCATTAACCTGGGCAGCCTGTTCCAATGCTTGACAATCCTTTCGGCAAAGACTTTTTTTTAATATCCAGCCTAAACCTTCCCTGGTGCAAGCTTGATTCTGCCCTGACACAAGCCAGGATGCCATTGGCCTCCTTGACCACTTGGACACACTGCTGGCTTATGTTCAGCCAGCTGTTGACCAGGACCCCTAGGTCCCTTTCTACCTGGCTACTCTCCAGCCACTCTGCTTGTAGCACTGCCTGGGGTTGTTGTGACCCAAGTGCAGGACTCAGCACTTGGCCTTATTGAATCTCATGCCGTTGGCCTCAGCCCATCAATTCAGATTACTCTGTAGAGCCTTCCTACCTTTAAGCCATCAAAAGGAGATAACTAGGACAATTTTTCTGCCTTTTTTTTTTTTTTAATTTAATGAATGATGAACAAGAAACTTAAGGAATATGTAGTTCAAGGTCAATTGTGTTCCTGATGCAACAAGGTTTTCAGTGTTTCTGTGTTTAAATAGAGCTGTGTTTCTAGACTCATTTTTTTCAAGTCAGTGTAATGGTTCAAAATAACAAACCATTGGTATTTTGCTAGCTGTAGACAACTACATCTGCATTATATTTCCATTTGTGTTAATCTAATCGTGTTAATCACTTACATGATTACCATAAGTAAAGAGCTACTTGTGTGGGTCAGTTTTCCAAATCTGGTGCTTGACTACTGTTTTCATCACTTTTGCATTCCCAGTTGTGGTCATGGGGTTCTTTTTCTAGTAGAAATGCTAGTCTAAATTCACTATCATATGAAATGTTATGAGAAACAGAGGAATTACCTGGTACTACTCAGTGACATATAACACAAAGGAAGAAGAGCAGATACTGCTTGTTTTCCAGCAAATTAGCTGTAACAAACCCAAGCATTAGATCTGACCTATCTCCAGTTAGTAGAAAAAAATTAATCTTTCCCTTCAATTTTCTTTTATGGACACTTAAATAGAAATCGTACTTTACTTGTAAACCTAAATTTCAACCTATGAATTGGATACTTGTTTTCTATTTTTATTTCTGTATGTTCATGACAATGATCATGCTAACGCTGACCTTGGCTTTTTCATGGACTGGTGGCACTGCAGCATGTTTTTAAGGATACTTTCTACTGCCTACAGACAAAAAGTTACAAAGTTATCCTGCTTCATTGAGGACCACTTATATCAGCCTTTGGAAACATTATACTGAGTTTATTTTGTACCGCTTGGCTGTAAGCTCACAAGTAATGCAAATGCAGAAGGTTAGGCTTCATGTAGATGTGATAATTGCAGTGGACAGTGAAAAGAATATGACAGATAAGATAAAAACTATAAAGCCTTCATGGTTTGTACTTTCTAAAAAGCAAGTCTTAAGGTGGGCTGTGAAATATGTCAAGGATTCCAGACAGATATTCTCCTGATGAGGTGCAACAAATCTCATAGTCTCCAAGAGAACTTCTCACCTCAGAGAAATGTGTCCCAGAAGCAAACAGCGAGAGACTGTGCATCATAAAAATGCTGCTGCCAATTTTGTGTAAGTAAACATAGATTCTAGATTTTTAAGGGTGAAATTTTGGAGACTTTTCATTTCTCCTACTTCTTAAACAAAATAGCAATTAAGACAACCAGAAAGTTACATAATCCAAAAAGTCAGGGGAGTCCTCAGTGTGCATAGTGGTGGCGTTCATTTTGTAGAAGCAGCCTTAGAATAGTAGAGAGATAGATGTGATGATGCATAGATATTTTGCCAGCTTCACCTGAGGAGTGTATTTTGTTCAGGTTAAAAAAATAACTGGAAAAAATTGCTAGTTTAGCTCACACTGAAGTAATAGAAAATTCAGTTTGGTGGTCTCTATACATCAACCAGCAGAATGCTCATGGTTTAGAAAAACTTCAAAATAGGAAAAAATTATTTCCAAACTAATGTGTGGAATAAAATGCTCTGATAAATAAAGAGTTATCCCAGTTTGGGTATTTAGCATTTATGTGTATGCAAAGCAGGGCTAGAATAACCCACAGTGATAATAAGGACGGCAAAGCAGCCACAATCACTCCTTTGTCCCATGACACAGAGCACTTATTACATTGGGTGATGCTTGTGGAAGACTATAGCCTCTGTAGAGCCTAACAATATATCAATTCTTGTATCACATATGTAAAAAATGACCACATAATGCACATTTATATCTGTTTGTAGCCATTCCCATGTCAGCACATTACATCTTGCTCAGTTGATGTCAGATTTTTTTTTCATGTTTATGGAAATCTATTTTGAAAAGCTTCTACTGTTTCTTTACTCAGTTATTGTGGTAGTTGCCCCTCTGAAGTGAATCAGCACCAAAATCTCGGTGCAACACACCATGTTAAGTCAATTTTTAATGTGTCCTTCATATCCATACCTCTTGCTTGATTCTTTTCAGACTAAGCCACATTGCTATCACTTTATCTCTGTATATTACCATCTTCCAGCAAGTTAAAGAGAGAAAGGGATTCTGAGTGAATGCAAGGAAGAGGAATCTCTTTCGTTCTTAAGTACAGCTTTGCAGTGCTGTAAAATAAACAAACATATTTTGTGGGCGTGTCCTGCAGCACACAGATATATGGAACTGAATAGAACCGTCAAAGGCCAGATTTTCTCTGCTTTCTGTGAAACCCTGGGCTCTGGGAAAACATCTGGAGAGATCCAGAAGGGCCAGTGGTATCCTGGGGTGCATTGGGAAGAGTGTGGTCAGCAGGTCAGGGAGGTGATCCTCCCCCTCTCCTTGGGCCTAATGAGACTACATCTGGAGTACTGTATTCAGTTCTGGTCTCCACAGTTCAACAAAGAAAGGTGGTACAGAAGAGGGTCCAGTGGAGTGCCACAAAGATGATTAGGGCTCTGGAACTTCTCTCTTATGAGGAGAGACTGAAGGAGCTGGGCCTGTTTAGTCTAGAGAAGAGAAGACTGAGAGGGGATCTCGGTAACACACATAAATATCTCAAGAGGGTAGTGCCAGACTCTTTTCAGTGGTGCCCAGTGACCGAAGGAGGGGTAACGGCCATAAGCTAAAACAGATTAAGTTCCATCACAACATGAAGAAGAACTTCTTTATATTGAGGCTGGCAGAGCATTGGCTCTGACCAGGGAGATTATGGATTCTTCCTCTCTGGAGAAATTCAAAACTCACTTGGACACAACTCTGGATAACCTGCTCTAGATGACCCTGCCTTGGCAGGAGGGTTGGACTAAATGATCTCCAGAGGTTCCTTCCAACCATAAAAATTCTGGGATTCTGTGTTTCTATGGAACAATTCCCTCATTTCCTACCCTCTCCAATTCTTGGTGAATCATAGCTGAGTCTGCAAAGATGAGATCTTAGTTTCATCACACTTTGAGAGCAACAGTTATTTAATGCTTTGCTGATACATGCAGAAAAAAGGCATCATTTTGACCACAGCTAATTCAATTGTTTTATTGAAAAAAACTAACCCTTAATGTAGCCTATGTTCACATACCGGGCAAAACTCTCCACTCAACTGTTCTCTCCCAGGGAAGTCTCATTTACAGAGCTACGACATCTTGAGCACCTGGCCTATTCCATATGCTCTGCAAGGACCACAGCTCTGCCTGTCCATGGTGCCTACAAATTACCAAAATGAACTGGTCTAGTGATGGCTTGACTTGTATACTTCAGACAATAAAACATACTTATGTGCTTAATAGTTATTGATTCTTGTTGCTTACATTAGAGAAGCTATTTCATTTTCAGGCCTACTGGGTTATCAAGGATAGATATACTTAAATTACTGATCTCTGGAGAGAATTCTTCCAGGTAAAGAATGAGGTCAGTGATACTAATGGGGATTTGATTTGCAACTATTTGAGTTTCATTCTGTATAGTATTTACAGAGTGGAAGGTTGAATGGTAGTTCCCACCCATTCCTAAACAATAGGAGGTACAGCTGCCACTTCACCATGAAGAGGGCAGCACTTGGGAGGGACACAGTGCAGGTTATACACACCTGCTAACCTTGGCGTGTAATGTCAGGGCTTAAGATGGTCATTGACTCTGTGTATAAATAGTATTTGCATCCCAGCCTTTCAGTCATACAGCTGAAAAAGAGTCATAAGCTCGCAGTCCACGCTCTGCCCCCCCCCA